AATTTTCGCTGCGGCGCTTTTTCCATAAAAATCAATACTTCAATAAATAATGAAAATTTTTAATAAAAAATCGCGCGATTTTTTATTAAAAATTTTCGCCTGCGGCGCTTTTTCCATAAAAATCAATACTTCAATAAATAATGAAAATTTTCGCCTGCGGCGCTTTTTCCATGAAAATCAATACTTCAATAAATAATGATATGGTATAGCGAAATTTGCTATTATATTTTGGTTACAATATCTTATTTAGATGAAAGTAAAAAGAAGAAGAAGAAGAAGTGTATAGTGTATAGTGTAAACTGACTTTAATAGCGCAAATGAAATGTGAAATAAAGTGGCAATACCAGCGATTTGAGGTTATAATAATTTCAGCAGGCGCAAAGTTTGTTTACTCTGTTTTATTAACGAAATATATAAAATAAAAGTGAATAAATGATTTGGTTTGTATAAAATAATACGCGGAAACGTTTTAGTAGTGTGTTAAAAGTGGAAACTGGTGATTTAGTGCATTTTTGACGTGGTAATTGCTCATAGAAAACAACGAAATTTAACAAAAGTTTTTTGTTCATAACTTTTAAATGGTTAATAATATTACCTCCCCCCCTCCGGATTGTTATTAGGGGGGCTGAAACGCGTCGTTTGGTACCCCTCCCGACTTTTCGGCCCCTTTTTTAGGGGTAGTTACCCCCCCCTAGAGAATTACCCTATTCTGCATTGGAAACATAAATTTTATAACCGGTAATTAAAGTGTCTGTCAATTTTTAAACCTTTTTCGCATTCTGTGCTCTCTTGTTACCGATCTCACAAGCTGGTAACAAAATATTGCCCCGTGAAATATGCAATACAGGAATTTCCAAAAATCTTCATAGCTGTGTTGCTGAATATTTTCACTGCATTACCAACGTACCTAGAATCGCAGTGACAAGTGGTAACATTTTACGGTAATAAAATTTTCTGGTCACAAAATCTTCGGTAACGTGCAGAATAGACTTGTAACAGGTCTATTCTGCGCTGGTAATAAAAAGTTTGTAACCGGTAAATAAAGTTCCTGTCAATTTTTAAACCCTTTTCGCATTCTGTGTACTCTTGTAACCGGTAAATTTTGTTACATCTCATAAGCTGGTAACAAAGTATTGCCCCGTGAAATATGCAATTTGCACAATTCTTCACAGCTGAATTGCTGAATATTTAAACTGCATTACCAACGTTCCTAGAATCGCGGTGACAAGAACTGGCAACATTTTTTGGTAATAAAAATTTCCGGTTACAAAATCTTCGGTAACGTGCAGGATAGACCTGTAAATGGCAACTTACATGCGCCAAGATGGTTCTTCGGGGAATTCTGCAACCAAGATATCTTCACTTTGGTTTTTTCCAATATTATGATAATATAGCTTTTGATTCTCATTTCGTTTAAATTCTGCGCCGATAGAGTTTTCATTTTCAACATATTGCTGAAATATTAGAAGAAATATTTAGTTACATAAACAACTTAAATGAACGCAACGCACGGAGTAAAAAAATCCCTTATTATCAATGGTCCAGGAAATTGCGCTAAACTTTACTTTTTCTAGAGACTCCTCAAAGTCCAACCCCGAATTAACATCGCGTATTTTAATTTTTAGCCAGTCAGATCCATTTTCACTTATTCCGTACGCCATGTAGTTGCCATCTTCAGAGAAAGATTTTTGAGATAAAGCAATAGTTCCATCTTCAGACCAGGTGTTAGGATCTAAGAAAACGATAGGTTGATCCTCGAGTCGTTTCTGTTGGTACAAAACACTAATTGCAAGTCTTAGTAAGAGAACAAATTAATAACTCAACCTATTATTACTTCTGATTTTGCAACCCCGAATTCATGTAAAAATAATAATACGCCCCATGTTTTGTAGGACAGCTATACTTGGTATAATTCCACAATTTAGTTAACTTTTTTTCAATACGGGATCTATCCTCTCCTTCCTCAATAAAAGTTTTACTAATTATATTCTGCTCATCAATGAAATTCTTCGTTTCAGATGAGCTAGGGTCTTCTAGCCACCGATAAGCGTCCTCAACTGTAACACCGTGAAAATAATCGACATACGAATTATCACGGCGTGTTATAGGATATTTCAACTTCATCTCAGAGATTTTGTGGAAACTTTTCACAACTGATCCCAGAAATACCATTAGAAAAATAACAAGTAGTTAAGAATGAAACGATAAGAGTAAATATAAGTACATACTCGATGCTTTTCGTTTGATACCAATTAATTTTTGTATACCCTGCTATAAAACGGATGACCATATCGGAAACAAACTATCGATTGTAGGCTCGCGTACATATGTACCGTACAAGAACAGTGATAGTCATTTGATTAATCATTAGTCTGTTCCAATAGCAGTCCGGGTTACAGGATTTAGTCAGAACTTACAGGAAGTCGTTCCTATTGACATAAAACCTGTAAGTGGGAACACTTTTGAGAGAGTAACTGAGCAACTGTTCCTAGTCAGATGTTACAGGATTTAGTCCGGAGTTTTTTTTCCTGTAAGTTCATGAAAAGTGTCAAACGATCAGCTGATTTGCATGTGCAAGCAAAAACAAAAAGCGGTGAAAGCAAAGAACTTTATATTTGTAAAAAAATGGAATTAAACGACGAAATGTTTGAATATGTATAGATTTTAATAATTATTTAGTGATAGTTCAGCCAAATCAGTGTTGTACCAATCCATGTAAACAAACCGACTGACGTTTTTACGGAAAATAGTGCTTTTTGCGTTCCCATACACTTCTGAATCTGTTCTTCTTTTACTCTCACTTGAGAGAGTAAAATTGTAGTTTGACAGTTCCACAGGTTTTAGTCCGAAGTTCAAAGGAACAGACTAATTACTTGTCAACAATGATGTTAATACCGACCTCAGTTGACTAGTCAATCCTGATGTTGGAACCTGTCACAGTTGAGCCATCATAATTGATGCATAAACCTATCAAAATTGAGGAATCACACCTGATGTTCATACCTACCACTGTTGATTCAAGTTCAAACATCACATTTGAACCTTATTGAAATAAATTTAATTAAAATTCATTTACTTCACATTCCTTTTTGATCAGCGAGTGACGGTGGACGTGTTTTGGCGCATACACATATTTATTTTGAGGATCAACTTTTTTTGCGCATTTGCACATGTGAATGTGCTGTACCTAAAACTTTTTATTTTTGTAGTGAACATACAAGCAAATACGACAGCAAATTTTATTTGATCGTTTGCTTCTCCGTTTGAGACCGCCTTTCGGTCAACTTTGGATTTTAAAGAACACCTTCCCTGTCGTGATAAGGATAGCAGGTGAGTGGTTTTGCAAGTTTTATTATAAGTTGTGACATTTTTTGGTGTACTATCCCTGTGCGTTGGTTTTTAATTAAAAGTAAGCCTGCCGCGTACGGCAGCAAAAAACACCAAAGCCGCTATGGCGTCCTCGTCGTCGAGGGCGTCATCGGCTGACGAGTTCGAAGCCTTTGCGGGTGTCAATTTGGCCACGAGCAAACGGCCTAGAAAGAGTGCGGAACCCCATTTAATTAAAAAAATGTTAAAATCCCAAGAGCTGTGCAAAGTCAATTTTGACTCAGGTGTAATCAGTGAGGTTAGGGACGAAAAATCTAGCGAAATAAGTGAAATGAGTGTAGATGTGCAACTAGATAACGGGACAGGTACGAATGCCGATAGCCCGCTATTGGAGTTGACTAACGGACCGCAAGTAGACACAGTGGTGGCGAACAGCGTTAGCACAAATACCAAGAATGACACGACACTGTACCCAGCAAACTTTTCTGGTGTGTATCTCGTATTAGTTGACTCGTCACAATGTGGTGACATGAATAACGAAAGAATCACTAACGGTTTAACTCTTTTTGACAAAATCAAAGTCTTCAGGATCAAAGACATTGATTTAATTTATGCCATTGGCAAAAGCCTCTACAAAATAACTTTCAAAAATGCAGCGTCAGCTAATAACTTTGTACTTAATGACAAAGTCAAATCTCTGGGTTTAAGTGCGTTTGTACCCAAGACTGCAGTTGAGACGTACGGAATAGTGAGGGGCATTCCGACTTGGTATCAGGAGGCAGAGATAAAGGCTAATGCCATCTCTACCGTCCCCATCGCCACAGTGAGGCGCTTCACGCGCAAAAGCCAGGACAGTGACTCATACGTTCCAACAACGACCATAAAAATCGGCTTCTCGGGTAAAGAAATCCCAAAATTCATAATCTTCGATTATACCAAATTATATATTGACTTTTACATTCCCCCGCTAAGGCAATGTCTCAACTGTGGCAGATTGGGTCATACACAATATGCCTGCAAATCTAAGAAACGTTGCATTAAGTGTGGTCTCACCACATGTGACGATAATTCTTGCAAAAAAAAGTGTATTTTATGCGGAAGCTCAGACCATGTCTCCACAGATAAGCTCACTTGCGCGGATTGGGAAAAGGAGCGCACCATTAACCACATTAGAACTGTTAAAAACATATCTAGACGCGAAACAATCAAAACTTACTTTGCGGCCAGTGAAAATCGTTTCGAACTTCTCGAAGTGGAGGATTCAGACTTTCCGCCACTCCCGTCTGAAAACGAAAACATCCAAAACAGAGACATTAACGTTGACAAAAAACTTACTAGGCACAAGTATAGCTCTGTGGCACGCAGCCGCAGTCCTAGAAAGTACAAAGCAGTCCCAATGCGGCCTGCCACTAGGGAAAGTAGGGTAAGACCACCCAGAGATTCTGTGCTAGAAAAGCCAGAATACTTGAAAGGACGGGTAACTGAAATGGAAAAACTCTTGTCAGAATTGTTCAAGGTAATTAACAGTGCATGCGCCAATGAGCACATGCAAGGAGTCCTAGGGAAGGTTCTAGCCCTAAAGCAACAATTTGAGCGTAATTCGATACAAAACGAGGTTGACATGATCAGTATGGGTACAGACATCCCCCCTCAAATATAACATATGAAAATTTGCCAATATAACTGTCAATCACTAAAAGCTAACATCAATAGCTTTGAATTCTATTTAAATCATTATAACTGTGACATAGCATGTCTCAGTGAAATATTCACCTCCAGCGAGCAACAACACAGAAACATTATCAACTACAACATTATCGAAAAAAACCGAGAAGATGGATATGGCGGCGTCGCCATAGTCCTTAAAAAACAAATTACATTTCAAAAATTAAATTTCTCATCTAACTTTGACATACTGATCATCAAAACCAAAAACCTTAATCCAAACCTAATTATCTGTGCAGTTTACTTTCCACAGAACATCCTAATAAATGACTTTAAGAGCGAAGTTCAGAGACTCCTTACTTACCTTGAGCAGTTTAGCAATGTTCTTATTCTGGGAGATTTCAACGCTAGGGCGAGAGCATGGGGTGACCACATCCAATCTTGTCGAGGAAATAACCTGCATAAAATTATTCTAGAACATAATTTCTGGCATTTAAATGACGGTTCGTCGACATTCAAAAATGACATGCTGGCTCCTAATGGGTCAGTGCTTGACTTGTCATTTACAAATAGTAACGTTCAATTTGTCTGGAAGGTCGACCCAATCAGGCTAGGAGGAAGTCACCATTTCCCCATTCTCATTGAGTCCACTGCTGTCACGCATCAGGGACGCAGGTTCCTATCCCAAAAAAAGCTATTTGCCAATCTACAACTAACCAATTTTGATCCAAACTTTAACGACATACATAATCAGTTCCGAACAGAAATTGAGGCTGCCACATATACGCTCAGTGCCAACAGATCCCCGAAAGCTTGGTGGGATGAGTCTTTTGACAAGGCCTTCCGCTTTCTTAAAATTGCGTCTAAAAAGTGTAAAGCCGTACCATCACCTGAAAATTTTGAAGAACTGATCAAGCTCAAAGCAGAGTGGAAAGACAAAGTTAAAATAGCAAAAAAGAAAAGCTTTGAAAGTAAGATAGACGAACTGAACGCTGCTCCCTTAACTAGAAATGCATGGAAATTCGTGAAAGCACTAAGAGGCGACTTTAAAAACACAAACAACTCGCAGTGGTCTAGCGACAACGACAAGAACTTCTTAGCCCTACTCAAAAGCCAAGTTCCCTCTCACAACTCACATTTACCAATTGATAAAGAACTAACTCCCACCCACGCCCTAGCAATCACCTTTGACGAGCTGCACAAGAACATACATTACAAAAATAATAGTTCAGCCGGAGGGGTAGACCTAGTTACATATAAAATGTTAAAAGCTCTACCAGATGTCTCACTTAACAACTTGCGAACTGCATTAAACGATGTTTTCCTGACAAACCAGATCCCAAAAGAGTGGCGCACCATTAAAGTAGTACCCATCCCTAAAAAAGATAAAGACCTTAGTGATTTCAGCAACTTTCGACCGATAGCCCTCATCTCAGTCTTTCTTAAGTGTATCAACCTTTACATAAAGGACAGAATATCCAACCACCTTGAGGAAAATGACATAATTCCTAAACGATCCTTTGCGTACAGACCGCATAAATCAGCCACAATCTGCGTCAACTATATATTACATGAAGCCGCAGTCCTTAAGCGACAAGGCAAAAAAGTAATCATATGTTCCTCAGACATCAGCAATGCGTACAACTGTGTTAATATCAGTAAGCTTAGGGACATCATGGTCCAAACAGATATTCACAACGCATATACTGAATGGATAACCAACTTCCTTTCATTTAGAAAACTGCAACTTGGTAGAGAAACCATAGAAATCCACGATGGTCTTCCTCAAGGTAGTTGCCTCTCACCATGTCTTTTTAATCTATACACCAAGAACCTTCACAGTATTCAGGACTCAAACACTAAAATATACCAGTATGCGGATGATTTTCTGATCATGTCATTCCATGACAGTTTTGAGCAGGCAACTGCGAATTTACGTCGCAAACTAAATGACTTCGCCTCCCAATGTTCCACTCTCAATCTGTCCTTCAACGCGGACAAAACCAAGTTGATGCTTTTAGGCAGAGGCAAGCGCACGATAATCAACGTCCAATGTCATAACTGCACAATTGAACAGGTACACACCATCAAGTTTCTTGGAAGGCACATTAGTGCTTCATTGTCTGTTCAAGAACATTACACCGACACAATCCAAAAATTTTATAGAAACGCCAATCTTTTCAAATGCATCACTACAATCAAAGCTGGACTACATCCCCAAGTCGCACTCAACTATTATAAATCTGTTG